CTCAGATATAGGGAGCTCTGGAGTCCTAGTAGTAGGAAACTGCACTGCAATTCCAAAGGCACATGGTTCAAATCTACCACCAGCTGCTCTGCAGGAGAAGGATAGGCAATCTCCTCCTGTGTGATTACCTGCCTCTGAGAACCTGCTGGATGTTTAGCCATGGGTCAGCTCCGACTTGACAGTACACAACAACACAATGATGCAAAAAGTTAAACACTAGAAGACAAAAAGGTTGGTTGGTGGTTCAAACCTACCCAGAGGTGCCCTGATGTAAGGGCTGGTGGTCTGCATCTGAAATGTCACAACTTTGAAACTCCTAGGTAGCAGATCTACTCTACATAAGAGGTCTCAGGAATTGGAAAAACGATAACCACCAACAGTATAAAATTGATATAAAAATGATGGGATGTAAAGATGATGGATAAATTAAAATAGCCCTCTTGAAACTTAACATTCATTCTCTTTCCTCAGTAACTGTAATGTCTCTTTTTAAACGTTTACTTATTGGACTCTAACTTTGAGCCTTTCCTAATTTGAGAAAAACTATGAGTTTTCCTTACCCAACTGACCTCTAGGGTCCACTCTTTTTAATTCTTTTTCTTAGTCAACGAGTATGCTGTTTCCTCTTTCTTTTTCTACGTGCTGGTCCCGCCTCAGCTGCCCTCCCTCCCCACTATGCATAGCCCAGCACATTTGCCTTTCAACACCCCAACGGTGTACAGTGACTGTGAGTCACTTCCAACTTCTTCTGATGCTTCCCCCTCACGGGTGGTCTTACGATGGAATGTGAAAATTGTAATGCTCTCTCATGGGTGACAAAAACTGGAAAGAAATGCAAACAAGTAAACAAAGGGGAATTCATGTCATGGATCACTTTGTAAAAATTTGTTTTAAGGATGATAAGTAAGAATTGAAAGTCACAGCTGTAGTCTGGAGGGAGCTGTGCTGTGAACCCAAAGGTGGTTCATCTCTAGTGGTTCAATTCCACAGTGGGTCTGAGGGAGAAAGAGGGACCATCTCACCCCGTGTGATTTACAGCCTCCAGGAAGTGCTCAGCTGTAGGTTGGTTCCAACTCAATGGCAAGGAGGTGAATTACAAGTAACCACAGGGGTGTAATTCATCATGTGTTGGATTGGTAACTGATTCCTTAAGAGTGGGGACCAACCACCTCATGTTTTCCAACAGTTCCACAGGTGAAAGATGGGTTGTTTCCTCCCATAAAGATCACCAAGCTCAGAAACCGGAGGGAGGGTCATTGTGAGTTGTAATCAACTTCACAGCCCTGAGTTTGCCCTTGGTTTATAGGTAGCCATAAACTTTTATATGATCCCGCTGTGCTTGTCTACCGATGCTGCTCTGCTTATTCAGTACTAACTCAAATCAGAGGGCTTCCCTCTTCCCAAGTGTTCTCCAGGTTCTCTGTCTTTGCACTTTTTTTTAGATACACTCTTTCTTCTCATTTTTCCCCTCATCCAGTGCATTCTTTATGAAGCACTTCATCCCATGGACTGCCCAAAGAACAGATCCACGTTGCAAGAGGTGCTCTTAAGAATGTTCCATAGAAGCAAAAGTTACATGAATTACTTCTCACATTCTTTGGGCGTATTGTCAGGAGTGGCCAGTCCTCGGAAGGGGACATCATGCTGGGAAAGATGGAAGATTGGCAAAGGAGGGGAGAGCCATCAATGAGATGGGCTGACACAGTGACTGCAGCAATGCCTGAGGCACAGCAGGGATTTTAAGGACGGTGCACGATCAGGTAAGGTTTTGATGTATAGGGTCCTTAGGAGTCAGGTCGACACAATGGTACCTAACACCACCACCTTTCCAGGTAAGAAGCCTTGGTGGTGCAGCGGCTAAAGTGATCAGATGCTAGCTGAAAGATTAGTGCCTCAAATGTGTCAGTTCACCATGGGAGAAGGATGTGGCAGTCTGTATACATAATGATTTACAACCCCGGACCCTAGAGGGTAGTTCTAATTAGTTCTAGGGACTGTGAGTTGGAGTGAATTTAGTGGCAGTAGGTTTCATTTGGAGTATTTCCCAAGCATTTTCTAGACTCTAGAATTATGGCCCTGAGAAGTGAAAAAAAAAATCCTTTGTGGAGGTGAAACTAGACTGGCACATTACAGCATTTAGTAAATACTGACTCCACATGATTAGCACAAAGTAAAACAGACTAACAGGAATTATACAGTTAGTTGAAATTTAAAATAATTACACAGTACTTGAGATTTAAAATATTCCCCAGTTATTACCATGGGATTACTCATGGGATAGATCATCACCCTCCATGATTTTTTTTTCCTGATACACATAAATACCTGTAGATAAAAGAGAAAATGGGGGGGGGGAAATCCAAAATATCACCAAAAAATACAGGAAGCTTTTATTTATGTTGGGAGAGGCTGTTCAAGGAGAGGATGGAAAAAAGAGAGCTGGTGGGAAAGGTGAGGGCTTCATTTCAATTCTGAGCTGTTGCCTGTATGTAGGAGCCCCTGGGTGGCACAAACTGGTAAGCACTCGACTACTAGCTGAAAACCTGGCAATGTGAGGCCCCCAGAGGCAGCTGGGAGACAGGCCAGGCACTCAGCTTCTGGAAGATCCCAGCCATAAACTGCCTGTGGGGCAGTGCTACTCTGCACACACCAGTCACATGGAGTCACTCTGAGCTGGAATCCACTCGACAGGCACTGACTGACCAGCACCTTCACGTAAACCCCTTTCATCTTTCCAGACCTTCAAGCGTGATGCGGCTTTGCACAGCGGTGTGGGACAAAGATCACAAGGTGCTTATAAGAAGCCCTCCTGCCTGTTGCCCGCCGGGCCACAGCTGCTAAGTTCTAGCAGCTGCTGTGAATGAAGGAGCCGCAGTGAGCAGGTGACTCAGCATGACTCCTTCCCCCAGAACAAGAGAGGTCACCATTGCAGGAATACGGGGTTTGCCACCTGAGTCGCGAGCAGAATGTGTGTATAGATTTCTGTCCTATTTGATGTTCCTTCTTTCTCCTGCCCTATTCCATTCTGGAAAGGTGAGTTTCTTGGCCTCCTCATCCTAAACATGCAGGTCTGAAAACCCTGAAAGGGCTGACCCTGCTTCTGGCTATGTTCCACAGAAACGTTTGTCCTGGTAACTTGCTCTGTGCCTTTATCTTCTCTCCAATGACAGAATTTTGAAGCGAATCAGTGTGAGCACAATATATCTGTAAGGTCTCTAAAAATACACATTCGTTACCTGGCTTTAAGTGAAGGGACTGAGAAATACCTTTAATCTTTCCCACTCGCAGATTTATCTATTAGATTAGAAGTAATCTTGGAATGGTAAAGCGCAAGGGTTACTGGGGTCACACAAGGCCATTGACTTTTCACTGATGAGGGAGTGGATGGAGGAGCTTGGTAAGGAGTATGAACAAATGAAGGCATAGTGTCACGGGAACCCCCAAAAACATTTGTTACCAAGAACACATACAAGACAGCTATCTATCTTTGAAGCTTTGCCTAGGATATAAGGACTTGTTTCCTCCAAATCATTCTCAATAAAACTATGTTAACAGTTTGGTCTTTTTCCTGCCAAACACCGGAAGTGTTTTAATTTCAAATTTGAAATGGTATTTCCTCTTGATTACAAACCCATGAGAGGTCTTTGATCAATTGTTGCAGAAAAGAAGTATAGGCAGATCCTCTCTCAACCCATGTGGTTAGTATTTTCTTTCCAGATTCACCTGACACTCCCAACTTTCTTTTTTTCATCTCTCTGCCCTTTCCCCTTCTAGTGCTGCTTGACCAAGAGTCACCATTTTAATCTTCTCTTATATAACAAGACAGGGAGCTCTGGCAGACTAGCTATAAGGAGCAGTACTACCAACTAAAGGCACGTGGTTCGAATCAAATAGCTGCTCCAAGGGAGACAGATGGACAATCTCCTTCTATGTGACTTACTGCCTCTGAAAACCTGCTGAAAGGTTAGCTATGAGTGGGTTCCAATGGCAATTTAACAAGTTCATTTCACCTCTCTCCCTCAGCCTCATTTAAAGTCCTAAAATCTGATTTTTTTTTTTTTAAAAAAAGTCTTCACAAAGCTTAATAAGTATTTAATACTAGTTTGGTAACTGATTTTTAGTGGATACTCTTTACCTACTACTGATATTGTAGTAATATCAGTTCTTTGGAGGCACTAAAACGGAACACTTCCTGTTGTTGTTAGTAGCTGGTAAGTCAATTCCAACTCGTGAAGGCCCTATGTGTGTACATATGTGTACAGACAGGTGTTCAATGCTGTGAGAATCTGGGAGACCACAAGACGTATCTTCGGAGACTTGTCTAATGGGTTAAAACCACTTCCACTTTGGTTACAAAGTCAAGTGCTTAATACTTTGTGCTACCCCAAAAGATTGAGGGGCTGAATCTTGTAAAATTACTGGAGCTGTGATCTAAAGAGCATCAGAATTCCTGACATCTGCACAGAAGAGAGTAAAGTGAAGTGTAACCCCATGAATGTGTTTCACCTGCAAGCTGACTGAGACATCCTATGATTGAAGCTAAGAGAGAAACTCTGCCTGATCTACTTTGAAAATCAGAACATTAAGCACAGTAGGTATTCACGTATAATACCTGACATTTAGAAGCTGGACCACAGGTTTATCAATGAATCATGCTATATTTACTTGTAGTCTTATTTTTAAAATTCATTTGGTCATTAATAAAAACTCTCAATAAGTAAATAATTAGAGAACGTGTGTTCAGTGGTCTTTATTTACATTCAGTTACTGTCTTCATTTATCAGTTCTTGTTTAATTGTACAGGCATGGTAGTTATATTTTCTGTGGAATCTTAATTGCAAAATAAATACAAAATACATTTGGGGTTTAATGAACACTCAAGGAAGTTGTGTTTGTTTTGTTTTTGGTTTTTTTCTGAGGTATTCCTTTCAGTCTGGTTTTATCCTAGATCTGCCTTTTCACTTCTAGCAAAAGTCTATTAAACCACACAATGGATCTGGAACCAGTAAAGATGAGTTTTAATTTCATTAGACATATTTTTTGATCTCATCATACAATACCAATACAAAAGCACCGCCCATGCCTCTCAATACATTGGACCAGGCACCTTTGAAGAACGCTTTGCCTCCTTCATCTTTTGCAATCTTCCTCCAGCAGTCAAGTGTCCCAGAGTACATGATATCAGCTGTGGAAACAAATACTGGTAAGGGCTTCATAATTCTGGAGGTGGGGAACCCTCCCTCTGAATACAACTGTATACAACTTAGTTTTTGTTGTTGACTGCTGTTGAGTTGAGCACAATTTATAGCGACCCCATGAACAAATGATGTTTCTCAAAGTTCATAGAGTTTTCAGGGGCATGTTGTTTAGGAAGTGGATGCCACTCCTGTTTCCAACTTTTGCAGCGTTAAAAATGAAGATCACTTGGGACTTAAAAGCTCAAGCTCTATGTAACATTCAACTGGCCATCATCTTCCTTCCCTGTTAGACAGGGTTTCTGGACTAGGCCTGGGGTAATTAACCAACTCCCTTACAGAAATGCAAATGAGGAAGTACTGGGTTATGTGTTCCCTCTTCCTATGGATGTGAAAACTATGGTCTTGTCTGAGACTATACGTTCCAAGATTATTGGTGGCATAGAGTGAAGGGAGTGGTGCTGTTATGGTATTCTCTGGAGGTTCAAATCCACTAGCCACTCTGAGGGAGAAAGATGGACAATCTCCTCCTGTGCAATTTACAGCCTCCAAATATCCGATGCACGGTCAGCTACGAGTCAGTTCTAACTCAATGACATTCAATTTGATAATGATATGCAAAAAGTACAACTGTTAGATAGAATTGCACAAAAATTGACTAGCTTTGACAATTAAAAAAATAATAATTTCATGTTTCAATCTCAAAAAAGCCAAAAACCAGTCACCAACCCCCAAATTAATTCACTGCTATTAAATCAGCTCTGACTCACAGAAACCTGACACTGGGTTTCTGAGGTTCTAAACTGTTAACATGAGAGGACTTCCCATTTTTCTCCCGAGGAGCCACTGGTTGATTCAAACTGCTGGACATATGTGGCAGAACTCAACGTGGATGACACTATTAGAAAAAAGAAAAACTTTTTCTATCATAACAGATTGCTTATTTACCTACTAATTCAAATGCCATGAACTAGCTGGCATTATGTAAGTGAAGCAAAAGTTCTTTTTAAACCAACTACTAAATTATTTCAATTCCCTTCCCCTGTAAGCTGGCTATAAGGAAAAGGGCCTAAGTTCTCCATAATGCTAGATACTTAGTTACAGCCATCTCTCCCTCATTTTTGAAAAATACTTTTATCTCCTAATAAAAAGAGGCTTTCTCTAAATAAGTAGCTGTGAATATGAAAACGCAAAACAAAACTCAAACCTTTTGCTCCCAACTCAATTTTGACCCATAGTGTCCCCAAAGGACATGGTAGAAATGTCCCATCTTAGGGAAACAGGTGGACAAACCTTTCTCTCTCAGTGGGGCTAGTGGATTCAAACCTCCTTTTCCATTACCAGCCAAGTACTCAGCTGCTGTGCTACCAGGGTCTCCTGTTCAAATTCAAACTTAAACTCATTGCTGTCAAGTCAGAATCAGTGTAGCTGAAAACTCGTCGGGTTTATGTCTTTTTTTTTTTTTTAAGTTGTGATTTAAACGCAAGTTTACAGAAAAGTTGGATTTTCATTCATTCATTGTTGCACAGTTTTCTCCCCACCCCTAGTCCACTTTGCAATGCACCTTGGATTCGGAACTGCTGTCATCCAAATAATGCCTCCTCATATATTCCTTTTTTAACAGTTCTTTGCTTTACCTATTCCAATGTAGTGTTCATTATTTATCCCTTCTTTTCTTGGTTTCTCCCCAACCTCCGTGTCAGCACTGTTTTATTACAGAGGTGTTATGCAGTTTTTGTCCTTTTGCGACTGAGTTTTCAGAGGCTGTAAATCACACTGGAGGACACTGTCTTTCTCCCATGGAGCCCCGTGTGGATTTGAACCACTAGAGAGGCACCACCTTTAAGTTAGTCCCAGAGCACCAAGCTTATGAATGTTAGGGAGAACTAATTATATCCTTCTTCCCTCAGCTCTTCACAGCAAATAATAATAATTAATTCAGGGTAATGAAGACAGAAAGGAGCGGTGACTTCTTCTCGGGGGAAAAAAGGAGAGTTAGATGAAATAGGGGAAAAGCTTACTCCCTTTCCGGCCAGACTGCATCATCATTCTACGGCGGACAGTGTCGAAGGGGTAGGACACCAGCCCTGCCACCGCTGTCACGCTCTGTGCAATCATCCAGCTCACAATGATGTGCACGTTCTTGGGGTCAGGCAGCATTCCTGTGGGCAGAGCCAAGAAGCCAAAGGGAGTGATTCTTCTTGCTAGTCCAGCAAAAAGGAGGTGGATGTACACTGGAGCCCACTGCACCTCCCGGCCCTGCCGGAAGAACCGCTTCTGAGGAAGGCCTCACACATAAGTGATGTTGGCAACCAAAGTAGGGAGCCCTTCCCCTGGATCCAGGGATGCCAGAACTCATCTTGGCAGACAGGGTACGTGGAGCTGTTCCCAGGTAAACTATAGCAAGTGAATCAAATGTGTCAAGAGGGAACAGGGCTCCCATTTCCTCCTCGTTGGCTAACTCAATGCCAGATCTTAATTCAGGAAAGAGATGAGGAAGAGAACTTTCTGGATTTTAATTTATTCATACTGTATCACCTCCTCATTCAGAAGCTTCAGTTTAACCCAGGGATAGGAATAAAACCCCCCACCCCCAAAAGAACCAAACTACCACAGGATAAGTAGGTACAAAGTCCTTTTTTTGAGTTAAGATGCTCTCTCCACACACTCACCCTCCACCCACTCTCTGGCCCCCCTCTCACCCTTGGCAGTATCGTAGACTCCGAAGTAGGCGGCTCTGTAGATAATGATGCCCTGCACAGAGACGCTGAAGCCCTGGTAGAGACCCTTCAGGCCGTCGGACTTGAAGATCTTGGTAAGGCAGTCGCCGAGACCACTGAACTCACGCTGGGCAGCACCCTTGCCCACGTCCGCAGCCAGCCTGGTCCTGGCAAAGTCCAGTGGATAGACAAAGCAGAGGGAGGTGGCCCCAGCTGCCCCGCCAGAAGCCAGGTTACCAGCGAAGTAGCGCCAGAACTGCTTATGCCGGTCGACACCCCCCAGGAAGATCTGCTTGTACTTGTCCTTGAAGGCGAAGTTGAGAGCTTGGGTGGGGAAGTAACGGATGACATTGGCCAGGTTACCCCTCCAGAAGGAGATAAAGCCCTGCTCCTTGGGGATTCTCACCACACAATCAATGATCCCTTTGTACTGCTTCTCAGCACTGATCTGTTTGCTGGCATGCTGGACCTGTTTGGGGTGGGAGTGGAGGGGTGAAAGGACAGGCAGGGAAGAGAGAAGGGAAGAGATGGGAAGGAAAAAGCTTCACTTTCCTTGATTTCCTTGTTGCTAAAGATATCTGAAAACCAAATGGATCTTGAGGAAATGCCAATAAACGCCAGACACTTGGGTGACAAGCCAATATTGCTCAATTATTGGGACAAACTGAGGAAAAAAGTGGTGTTCCAAATAAACTGAAAGGGTGCTGTGGTTGTGTAAAATAGTCATTTATTTATTACATTTCCCTTCTATATGCTAGATCTGTATCAGGGGATTACTGGGAGAGAGAAATGAATAGACAAAGTGGTCCAAATGGCTTCTCATAAAGCAAATGTGAGGAACAGAAAGACTATCCTTTAGTGACACTTCAGTTTTCCTGCAGAAGAGGATCTTCAGTAGTAAATGATCCAACAAAGGAAGGAGAATATATTGACTACTCATTAGAACTCAGAATTATCAATGCCAACTACTGAGTGGTTGGTTGCTCTTGTTAGCAATTTGCTGTTGATAACTCTGGTCTAAGAGTATGTATGAAGAGGGTCAGTCTTACTTAACTCTCAATTGAGGTATTCCTCTTTGAAAGGCCTTCCCCATTTTGGGCAGGCAGGAAAATGATAGGGTAACTAGAATGCTGATTATAAAGCACAGACAAGGTCCTGTGTGAGTTATGGATTTCCCAAGACATTGTATGCTGGCAAGGGAGGTGAGGTGACCAAGGAGAGGAGGAAAAAATTTGGGGAGAGGATGAATAAGATTTAAGTTGAAAATTGTTTCTCATGACTCAAAGCCTCAGTTTATCTGTAAAATGGTGAAAACAATACCTGTGGACGCTACATAAGTTGAAAAGGCAATTGAATTGTGAAGGAATAGCAATTTATTTATTGTACTTTCTCTTTATATCAGATCTAAAACAGGATTTATTGGGAAATAGAAATAGGAACTATATGAAGAGAAAGAAATCTGTATGTCAGCAAAGTGGCTGGCAAACAAGGAGTGCTTAATAAAGAGTAATTATTTTGTTGCGTATTGTAAAATAAAATTGTAAAAGGTAAGGCAGGCAAGATGGTGCAAAGGAGACTGGAAAGCAAAAGGTGAGGCCGGCCTGAGGGCCTAAGTGGTGTGTGCCAGCGCTGTCACAGGCGCAGGATCTGGCTCGCTGTAAAGCGACTCTGGGCGGGTTTCCATATATAGACACCCGAGCACCGGGCGCCACCCGACACCAGGAATCCGCTACTGACGATGGACCTGTCTACGCAGAGGGCACCTTCCCCTTCACACGGGCCGGGCGCCCGAGAGCCCGGGGCCTAGCACAGATTTCTGGTGGCCCCCGCCCCGCGCCTCCTCCTCGCGCCGCGTCCCGCCCGCACCCCACTCGCTCACTGCGTCTCTACCCGCGTCCGCGCAGTGATCGATCACTCTCGCCCTCTTTACCTGCAGCAACAATTTGACCCTCTCGATGGGGGCGACCGCAGTCTTGGAGACGGCAGCGGCGATGCCACCTGCCAGGAAATCCTTCAGGAAGCTCAAAGCTTGATCACTCATGATGACAGCGGGTGCTGTGCGCCTTCAGGGAGCCGCGCTCTGGCTGTCACTCTCGCTCACACCCTGGCCAGGGACCGCCACCCCGTCTCCGACCCTGCGCTGCGCGAAGGGGCCGCTCGCCTCTCCCTGCAGCCCTCCTTATATCCCCCACCCGGTCTCTCGCGAGAAGAGGAGGGACCCCGGGGCAGTGCGCGCATTGCGCATTGGCTGGGCAGGTGCTTGGACACCCCTTCTTCGTCCCCCTTCTCTGCAGAGGACATCGGGGGCGAAGGAGCTTCCGGGAGTCGGGGTGGGCTGGGGGCTGTGCCTTGAGCTTGGGACGTTTAAAGGGCAAATTAATGTTATCTGTCCCTGGGAACAGAGGGAACACCATGTCACTGCAGCATGTGGGTCGCTGTATTTATAGCACAAGAAGGCTTAGGCTGGGGCTGGCCTGGGAACGGACACTGGACCCGATGCCTCAAGAAGGGCAGTCTTTAACCTTCGGCCTGCATGAGACCCACCCACTCCCTGACCAGAGATTTCAGGCTATTTTCTCTCATTCTTCTGTGCAAACCAACCGACACCAAAGGCTCACTGTCCGGATTTGGTCTTGTGCTCACTCAAATAGATTAAGAGGCGCCTAGAGAAATACTAGATTTGCCGGATGCTGTAATTGCTTCACATAGTCTGTAGCCTGCTGTCTCCGATTCTTCTCATTCAATCATGCAGCCATTCATTCTGTTAAATACTTTGTGCCTGGCAGTAGTGGCACTGGGGTTGCAGTTACCCAGTGATGGAATCATGATGTCACCTCCCTCCTTCGTGGGCCTCCTCCCATACCAGACCACACACAATCCTTAGCAATGCTTATTGTCCATTTTGATCATAGAACAATATGTAACAGATACAGCAATAATTGCCTAAATGGAATATTTCTCAGATTTCAGATTCAGATTCTTAGATCTAACATCAATATTGCTATGTAAATTTGTTTTTGTAAACTCTTTCTACATTTTACATTGAATTACAACACTAGTTACATTATTAATTACTGAATAGAAGCTTTAAAAATTTTCCCTCCTTTCCCGTTACTATTTCATTCTTAAGATGTTATTGGTATAGATAGACTCACAAATACAAAGTACTACAATATTGTACTCAAACACTGAAATAATTTCAGCTCTTTTACTTCCTCATTTATTTCATTTGTTTTAGCTTCTTTATGTTCTAGAACATGTCTCAGATCTTCTGACATCCATTTTGGTCTTTATTTTCTGCCTTTGTAATGACCTTTTGCTTTCTTCATGGATGGTGTCCTTGATGTCCTCCAACAACGTGTCTGGTCTTCTATGGTCATAAGTGTTCAGTGTATCAAATCTATTCTTGAGGTGGACCTTAACTTCAGGTGGGATATACTCAAGATTGTATTTTGAATTTGCTTTCATTTTCTTCGGTTTCAACTTCAGCTTGCATGGGAGAAATTTATGGACTGTTTCACAGTCAGCTTCTGACCTTGTTTTGACTTAAGATATTGAGCTTCCTCATCATCTCTTTGCAAAGATGTAGTTGCTTTGTTTCCTTTGTATCCTGTCTGGCAAGGACCATGGTTTTGTCATGATTTATTTGAAGAAACGTTTCCAATAAATTGGTTGTTGTTGTTATGTGCCATTGAATTGCTTGTGGCTCATAGTGACCCCTGTAGAACAGCTCTGAACCTTCCTCTATCCTGAGTCAATCTTATTGTCTCTGACACACCTACCCCCATTACCCGTCACTGTGTCAATCCATCTCATCAAGGATCTTCCTCTAATGCACCATCCTGCCACCCTCCCAAGCATGATATTCCTCTCCAAGGACTGGCCCTCCTTGCAGCATGCCCAAAGTATGTCAGACAAAGCTTCAGAATCCTTG